ACACCTGCCTAGAAGCAGGTACCAGTACCGCCAAAAAAAAAAAGCTGGGCACCAGTGGCTCACATCCATGCAAGGCTGAGATGGGGAGGGTCACAGATCGAGGCCAGCCTGGGCAAATAGTTCGAGAGAGAGACTCCATCTCCAAAAAATCAGGAGCAAAATGGAGTAGAGGTGTGGCTCAAGTGGTAGAGCACCTGTTTTGCAAGCACAAAGTCCTGAGTTCAAACACCAGTCCCACCAAAAACAAACAGCTGAACATGGTGGCTCACACCTATAATCTCAGCTACTTGGGAGGCAGAGATCAGGATGATTAAAGTTCAAGGCCAGCCTTGGCAGAAAGTTCAGGAGACCCCATCTCAATCAATAAGCCAGTGTGCCTGTGATTCCTGTTACGTGGGAGGTGTAAGCAGGAGGATTGACTTCTGAAGCTGGCCGGGGCAAAAATTACACCTTATCGGAAAACTAACTAAAGGATTACTCACGTAGTAGAGGGCCTGAGTGTCTGAGTTCAAACCCCCATACTGCTAAAAAAAGGAAAAGAAGGAAGGAAGGAAGGAGGAAAGGAGGGAGGGAAGGAAGGAAGGAAAGGGACTGGAGGAGTGGCTCAAGCAGTAGAGCACCTGCTTTGCAAGTGTGGAGCCCTGAGTTCAAATCCCAGTCCCACCAAAAAATTTAATATAAGTGTCTGTATTGAACATGTACAGACTCTGAGGAACTTGGGGAGAGCCCCGGATCCATCCCGGAAAAGCGGCCCCAGTTGCTGGGTGCTGGTGGTTCATGCCTGTAATCCCAGCTATTCAGGAGGCAGAGATCAGAAGGATCACAGTTCGAAGCCAGCCTGGGGAAATAGTTCTCGAGATACTGTCTCAAAATACCATCACGAAAAGGGCTAGTGGAGTGACTCAAGGTGTAGGCTCTGAGTTCAAATCCCAGTGCCGCAAAACAACAACAAAAAAGTGGTCCACACCCATGGGCAAGTGCTTTGCCCCCCAAACCTCAGCTTCCTCATCTATAAGATAGCGAGCACCCCTCAAACAGGACAGCTGCAGACTGCAACTGGGTCATTTGGTGAGCAGGTGACCAACCACCAGGCCCTGGGGCAGAGGGTGTTCTCTTCCCTCCACGTTTTTTTTGTGGCACTGGAGTTTGAACTTGCTGGGCAGGTGCTCTACCACTGGAGCCACAAGGCTCTCAGGCTGGCCTTCACCTCACCATCCTCCTGCCTCAGCCTCCCCAGTGCTGGGATTATAGGCATACTCACCACACCCAACCAGAAGCCACTTCTCTTGCCTGAATTTTTTTTTTTTTTTGTAGCACTGGGCGTAAACACAGGGCCTTCACCTTGAGCCACTCCACCAGCCCTTTTGGTGATGGATTTTTCGAATAGGGTCTCGCAAACTATTTGCCCAGGCTGGCTTTGAACTGAGGTCCTCCTGATCTCTGCCTCCTGAGTAGCTAGGATTATAGGCGGCATCACCAGCGCCCTGCTTGACTGATTTTTCCCTACCACCATTTCTTGTCCAGAGAGACCTGGGGTGACCGCTGCCCCCACCAAGCCTGTGGGCATCTCAGGGAGTGTTGGGTAGGGGTGCTTATGGGTGACTGGGCAATGGTAGAAGCCAGCAGTCTCTTAGTGGTTGGTGTGGGGGAATCACAGGGTCTCCTTGCCAGGGGTGACAGCAGGGAAGGTTCCCCACTAGAGGGCATCCAAGAGCCAGCTCCCTCCACAGGTTCTACCCTCTAGGCTGCCTGGCCAGCTGTTTGCTCTTCCCTGGGCCCCTGCCCCTACTTCCTACTTCTGCAGCCTGTGCTACACTTGGACTCTGAGCAGCCGCTCAGTTATCTCCAAGGCATGTCTCTCTCTCTCCTCTCTCCTCTTCTCTCTCTCTCTCTCCCTTTCTCTCTCTTTCTGTCTCAGAGCTCTTCCTGCCCCTGCCCCTCCCAGCTAGGTCACCTTCCCCAAAATGCTTACCTTTGGTGTATTTGGCTTTTTTAGTTCTTTTTTGTTTTTGGTGGAACTGGGGTTTGAACTCCGACCTTTGCACTTGCAAAGCAGGCGCTCTACCACTTGAACCACACCCCCAGTCCATTTTGATCTGGTTATTTTGGAGATGAATGTCTCTCAAACTACTTGCCTGGACTGGCCTGAAACCTCCATTCTCTTCCCAATCTCAGCCTCCCAAATAGCAGGGATTACAGGCGTGAGCCACCAGCGTGTGGCAAATTAATTTCCATGAGAGTCCTGGGAGGACTTTCTCAGCCTGGGTCCAGTGAGTGTCTCACACACACACACACAGCTAAAAAGGACAGGAAGAAAAGCAAACCTCTCTTTTTGCTTTCTTTTTCCTCTGCTCTCCCGTCCTGGAGCCCTTTCTTAACTTCACACCTGCCCCTCCCTTCCTCTCTTCCGCCTCTAGCTGCCCCAAGTCCCTGATGCTCTCTGGGCTTTGCACCTGTCACAGTGGCACAGCCTCACTGCCCAAATAGGCTGGAACCTGAGGCCAAGTGACCTGCCATCTGTGTCCTGCTGGCTTGTGCTGACCTCACCTGGACTGACCCCAGCCCCAAGGACAGGACAGGACAAGACAGGACCTGGAGCTGGCTGGCCCAGTTTCTCAGAAACACAAGCCTTTCCAACCAGGCCAAGGCAGGCCAGGCTTAACCACAGGAAGCTGGGAGCAGACAACTTCCCTCCCTGGTCCCCCACTCCAGGAAGCCCCCCTTCTTCTACTGGGGCTGAGGCAAAGGGAGTCCTATGTCAGCCCCCTTCACTGGGCACTCAGGGCTTCCTTATATCATTTAATTTCCCAACTAAACCAGCGTGGGAGGGGAAACTGAGAGTCAAAGTGGTGGAAGGCCAAGTTCAACTCTGCGCTTGTGTCTGCTTTTCCCCCTTTGTGAAAAGTATAAACTAGTGCAAATACACAGACAAGTACCCAGAGGATACAGTGAAGAAGGTGCTCACAGACTGAGCAAATATTTTCTTTTTCTTTCTTTTTTCTTGGGGTGCTGGGGTTTGAACTCAGGGCCTCCACCTTGAGGCCCTCCACCAGCACTTTTTTTGTGATGGGTTTTTTTTTTTCAAGATAGGGTCTTGGAAACTGTTTGCCCAGGCTGACTTGGAACCGTGATCCTCCTGAGTAGCTGGGATTGCAGACATGAGCCACTGGCAGCCGGCTTCCTATTTTGAAAGCTACAAATATAAAATTTATATTAATTGCACTTAAAGAATATTTAAATATTTAAATAGGGTACCAGACTCTGACCTTTGCTCTTCCTGACCTGCGCACCTCCTGCACCGTCCCCCACGTGTCTGGTCCCTCATGCACCTGCGTTCCAGTCGGGGTGCCCTGAGGTCCCCCACATCGTCCCTGCGGCCCCTTTGCTCCGTGTCCAATGCTCGGCTTGTTTTCGGGGCCACCCTCCCGCGGACACCCTGGGGGGGCTTCATCCCGGGCGCAATTTTGCGGACTCCCTTTGGGGACCTGGAAGGGGGTGGGGGGTCCCCACGACTCCGGGAGGCGCCGCGCGTGGGCTGCCCCCCTTCGGGGAAGCCGCAGCCACACCTCGGACCCTCGGGGCCTCGCTGGCGAAACGGGAAGTCGGCGGGGAGGAAGTCGGTGCGGGGCGCGCGGCCCGCGGGCCGGATGACTAAGTTTGGCTGCGCGACCTGCGCGCTTTGCCTTTTATGGCGGCCTCGTGGGCCATGGGGACGGGGCCGGCGACAAGGGACCGCGGGCGGGAAAGGGGACGCTTCCACCCCCCCCCACCGAACCCTCGGCTCCTTTCCGCCCAGCTCCCTGGCGCGCAAACCTTGAAATGCAAAGAAGGGAAACTGAGGCTCAGAGCCGGGCGCGAGGAGACCTGGAGAGGTCCCCTGCATGGCGCGTAGAGATCGATGACACCCAAGGTCCCTGATCCCAGCCCAGGGCCAGGACAGATGACTCACGCCCCAGGGGAAGGTGCGGGGCTGCACTTATTAACCACCTAGGGTTTGCGCCCTGGCGGGGTGGGTTCGGGTTCCTTGGAGGGGACATGGGAGGAAGAGTGGATGGGCGGAGGAAGGGAGGGAGCACCCAGCTCTGTCATGCCTCCTCGTCCCCAGTGCCAGGCCCGTCTGGGCGTGTGCAAGCCCCGCACCTGATAGTCCCTTCCCCCTCCCTTTAACATCTGGGGAAACTGAGGCTCTGCGCGTGCCCAAGGTCACGTGCGACCCCTAGCCGAGTCTGTACGAGTGAAGGAGAACTCCGATCCTTAGAGGCGCTGATACACCTGCACCCCGCAGGAAGAATTTCGGTGCCACCTCTGCTGTCCCGTCCCCCAGCCGCGCCCGCGACTCCCCGAGGACCCACAGCCTAGGTCCCGCTGCGCCCCAGCCGGGTCACACCGCGGGCCTCAGTGTCTCCAAACGCGAAATGGACACAGAACGCAGAGGGCCGGGAGACGGGAGTGGGGATCAGGGTCAGATCTGGGGTCCGGGCAGGATTTCTGGAATCCCAGGGTTGGGCTGCGTCCCTTCCTCCTACCCCTACCCCCACCCTCAGCCCATCCCACCCCACCCCCCACCCCCACCCCCACCCCCCATGGTTCCCAGGCTCGGCCCTGGCCCTCTAGGGGCAGGGGACACGGTGGGGGCGGCGGTCTCCACGGCCCCAGCGCCCCCTCCCCGGCGCTCCCAAACCTGGCCTTTTAAGGAGAGGAAGTTGGGCCAAGTGGGCCGGGCCGGCCAGGGGCGGGGTGGGGGCCTGCGGGGAGCGCCGGCCCGCGCTGGATGCGCAGGGGTGCCCGGCTTATCTTTCCAGGACAAGGACGGTCCAGGGACGTGGGAGCCACGTGAGCCCGCGGGCTTGGGAGCGCTGATAAGAGCCAGC